TATTTGTTAATTTACAAGTTAGCAGGAGAAAAGTAAAAAGAAGTATTATAAATCGAACTTTTCTCTATGTGAAAATACTGAAACAATCAACAGTATTTATAATGATAATTCAATAACTTTAAATAGTAAAATACAGCAATTAAAATAAACGACAAATCATCACTGAATAAGTTTTACTATAAAACGCTAATTAACTGAAGTTCACATGTAGTAATTTATCTGTTCGAATTTATTTAGTTTAGTTCGAACGTAACTTTATTAAAAACAAAAAAAAGGTAATATCAAAAAAATACTTTAACATTAAATGTAAATTTAAAAATAAACACTGCTAACTAGAATACATGCATTAATTTTAATAATGTAAAATTTGTAATGGTCCACTATTTTAATTAATAAATAATTATATTTTATCAAACAAATAAAAAATTTAATAATTGGATGGATGAATATAATAATATTGTTGTATAATTTTTTTTTAATTACTATATTTGTTACAACTGCTAAATAATTAACAGTAATGAACAATTATATAAATTTAATAAAAAGAACACAAAAAAAAGGATAGAATTTTCAACAAAATGATAATAAAAATCAAATTTTAAATAATTAAACAGAATTCTATATAACGTGATAACTTATTGCTTGATCAAATTAATTTGAACTGATCCCTAATTTTTTCTTTAGTTCAAAATATTGAAGCACAAGCTATTATTTATTTTTTCCTAATAATTTTCTCTTTTTTTCACGTTCAATATAATAGTGTATGAAACGTATTGTAATACTTTTATTAAAGGTTTAATAGTATTAACCAATTGGAACAATCATCTAAATTAACAATATAATGTAATGTCATTTTAATTAATAATCTCTATTATCTGCCATTAAGTCAACACTTCAAAACCATCAAGTATGCAGTTATGTTTTTTATTCATGGATATATATCATTAAGAAATATAAATATTAAAAACATATGAGCTTATTAAATTTATTGCTTCAATATCAATAAACAGACCTATCAAGCAACAATTTAAAAAGTCATAAAATCAAAGAAACCATTTTCCATTATCGCTACCGGCGTACTACTCTATTCTATTTGCATAAGTACGAGGAAGACGATATTAAAAAAAGCCACCTAGAGTCGATGCTAAACAGTTTACAAGCCTTACAGGTGAAATAAACGCATGAATAAATGAACGCAAACACGTTTTGTGTCATATTTATCATAATTATAGATAATTTAATCACAACTCGTATTAAAGACATCATCTCACATCTCGTATTAAGCATTTAATAACATTGCATGTTTCTTCGAATGGAAGAAGCTACTGCAGGTTTCGAAATAAATTATGTTTTGCAGTAATAATCATTACTGTCCCACATATAACTCATTGAAAGTAAAAGTGATTGATTAATTGCTCACAGAAATAACAATGTAGACAATTGGCGGTCTGAGAAAAAAACAAAGATAGGGCCAGAACAAAAGCCCCAAACGTATATATGGTTTAAAGGTCCGCGAGAAAAAAGGACTACTACCATTATTTTAAGAACAAGTAAAGAATTATATTTTTAACGATACTATTTTAAAGTAGAGAGCACAAGATCTGTAACCATCTTTCACTTTAAATCGGGCGACATCGCTATCTGGAAGTAAAACCACTTTGTTAACTTATTAACAAGAATTTGTTGTTAGTTTTTTTTTGGGATTGAGCAGTGTTGTTTAGTTCACGATACGTAAATATAATTTTTAAGTATAGCTCATTAATTGATTTATAAGGAATATTATTATTTTTAATAAGATTCAATAGTTTTTTAGTAAATAATATAAAAGCAAAACATAGAACATAGTAAATAAAAGAAAAAAAGTAAAGATATTAATTAATAGTACACTCGCAAAGGTAACATTCGTAAACAATAAAAAATTGCAAATAAAAATAACGTAAGTTAAAAACAGCAATTTTAAAAGATATATATTAAATTGATAGTTATTTAACAGGGATGAAATTAATTTTTCTAAAAGAAGTTACATACGACGGTTGTATACCAACAGAAGTTGTATTTTTCTTATTTATTAATTGTATTTAAAAAGAAACATTTGAAGTAAAACCGAAATACCTATCAATACAGAATTTATGATAGTACTAAAAGTTGATTAAGATTTGTGTTTGTTTAACTTTAACTATTCAGATTTATAACTTTTAATTTTGTTGTTTAACCTAATAATTTAACCACATCGCATTGATTAAATAATGTAGCTACCATTCCGTAAAACCATTTTAAAATAAACCCCATAGGTTTAGGTATCCTAAAAAGGGACCAATAATAAAGTAAAAAAATATAGTAAAAAAACATTTCTACAATGATGAATTACACATTAAACATTTATTTTAAAACAATCGATAATAATAAGATTCAATATTTTTTCAATAATTGTTCTAATTTTATTTGATTAAGAATATTAGGTACCTAAAACTCAATAATTAATAGCATATTTGGATATTAAAATAAATTAAAAAATAGAAATTTTAGTATTATATTATTTTTATATTTAGTATTATAAAAATGTGTTATTTATTTGGTAAATATAGATGTGCACGGTTGAATAATAATATAATATTTTACTTTTGTTATTATTTAATTTTGTTTCATTATTCATTTATTCATTATTTCAATATTTTGATTCAATATTTTTAATGTAACTTTGTTTGGAAAAATTAGTGACGAAAAGTATAAAGTATGTATAAAAAAGTATGAGGTATCGTGATACACTCGAAGCAAAAGCTTCTTCTGAACTTTATTTTAACTGATTCATCATGAATTAGCAATATTACGCGATGCAAAACTTCAAATAAATGATAAGGTTTAATAATAGAACATTGCCGCATTACTTTCATGAATTAAAAATATTTTATTGACATCGGTCACTGACTGATAATTTTATTTATACGAGAATTAAACTAAACGCGTGTCGGATGTAAAGAAAATCCTTGCCAAGATTTTTCAATTAGTTTTTGTTTGTTTGGTATTTAAAAAACGAGTATCCTTTACTTAAAATTAAATCTATTGTTAGAAATATATTATGAGATATATGTATAGATCCTATATATGTATACATGTAGTAACATTAAAGAAACAAAATCTTCTCCATTCTAAAAAAAGGTTTATAATCAATCTACCCCTTTTATTAGTTCTTTAAACTTCTTAATCGACAAATATATCCGTCAAGATTGTTTTAAAATTCTTGTTTTTGACAGAAAAAATTGATAATGCAACGTATCTAGTTCTGAAACTTTTTAATTAAACGTATACAAAATTTTTTTTGTATTTTTAAAATTAATTGCTTGGAGAAGAAACTTAAAGCAATTTATTGAAAAATTCAGGATATATCTATTACATATACATGTAATGTGTAATTAATTCAACAATGTTTTTTCAATTCTTCAAACGTAGTAAACCCAATTTTTTTTTTTTTATTATTGACTATTATTATGGTATTTGAAATGAGTTTATTCGCGCGCGTATAATATTTATTTTTAAGAAAAAAATGATATTGGCAAATGATATTTAAAAAACAATGTCGTAAAGAGCGTTGATTTTTTAGGCATTGTTTGAGTGATGATTTTTCTTTAAGTCAGGACAAATTTTAGGACGTTTGGATACAAAAAATGTTAGACACTTTTTATAAATATTTCCAAACAATACTAATGTTAGTTTAATTTTCCACACAGTCATCACAATTTTAACCAATAAGTGACTTTATCATTGCAAATATTAATTTGTTACTTGTATAGGTTATCACAAAAAACAACAACTAAAGAATCATTCTAACATCAATCAAGCTAATATTCATTCACTTTATTATGATTCAAAGCAGTAGTTTCTTCAAAAGCTGCCTTTCTATTAAATCAATTAGCCTTCTTAGTACAAGGAAGATCTTGTTTGTATTTGTATTATAATTAACAACTATCGAGCAACAAAAAGTAAGAAGTTGTCTTTTTAAAATACCAAACAAAATCATATCTCATGCAAACAATTATTCATATCATAAACATTAATACGCAATAAACATTAATATATAATTAACATTATTTTTTTTTATATTTTTACTGGATTACAATCAGTTTATTGAATTTAAATTATTACTTTTTGATTTTGATATTAATAAATTTTATTTCATAAAAAATATGTAAATCTATAGATGAAAGTCTCATAGTGTAGATGAAAAAAAATAAGTTGCAATATTAGACTTACATATTTTTGTACGTAATAAAATTTATTGAAATATATCAAAAAGTAATACAATGTATCAGAATACAATGTATGATTATATTCTATAAGTTATGATACAATTTAGTACCTATTTCAAATCAAAATGACAACAACAATTTTGGTTTAATGCTCTAATTTATACACACTTTATAATATATATATATATATATATATATATATATTATATAAAATATACATATATATATACACATGTAATGAATCAATTAAAGTGCATGGATTCGTAAAAGTGATACCAATCAATACAATATGTGTATTGACATGGGTAAGTGATGTGAATGCCAGTGAATTGATATGTCAAACATAACATTTTACCAGATTTAAAAATTTTTCAAAGGATTATTAATCTACTAATTGATATTTATTTACATTATTCAATCTATTTCTGCAAATAAAATCGAGCAAAATTTTCGACAATATTGTTAATCGGGTGGAGCGTTTGTTAGAAACAAAAATAAATTGGTACATCAAGAAATAACGATATACTTGGTTTTTTTAACTTTTGTTTGTGTGTTATTAAGGCTTATAAAATAAAAAGAATGTAGGAGGTATTTTTCCCTTCATTTGTACAATTGTTACTCTGCTTGAGTCATGACAAACAAGCAGAAATATTGCAAATTTGCAATTAGAGAATAAATATGCCAGTAGAAAATTATGCCTATATATATAAATGTGTATAAAATGTTTAAATAAAGGTTCTTATCTGTCTGTTCCAGATGCAATCAGTGCATCTGGCGGTGAGGAGCGGGCGTGCCATGGGCAGTTGTCCGCGCGGCGGGTGGTGTGGGTGGCAGCACGGCTTGTGGTGGGTTGGTGACGGAACAGTAACACGACAAACAAAACATACATACACACTTGACACAAACAACTCAATACCAAATTAGGGACTGAATAGCACAAATACAATTTTCCCAAATTTCATAGAAAATAATAAAGATTTTTTGTCAATATATTTAATTGCAAGTGCAAGTTCTAGTATCTAGTATATGCCGTCCAAAATAGTTCAAGTTCAATAGTTCAAATATAGGCATAATACTGTTCTCTAAATCACATTAAAGCCAGTGTATATTATTTTCACTGTCTTTTTACTTTACAATTCGAACGATATCATAATTGTCGACGATTTCTTGCAGTTGATATATTAGTTAATATCCAACTAAAAAGACTGAATTACGTACGACGCACAACAACATGCATATTTTGGTGTGGAACACAAATACACCCCCGCTGGGACGTCGAATCCTAAACTTGCACGTAAGATTTTTTTCCATTCTTTGCACACCCTTGTTTTATATCTGTCATCCAAAAAAGAATTGGTTAAGTCCATTCTCAACCATTTGTAAAACTCGATTTTCAAAGTTTGTGTAATATCTTATGTTTATGTTAAGTACTTAATTAAATTTTGCTTCCAATCAATAATTTTTCATTTCATTAATGATTTTAAGAGAAATAGTTAGTACCGCGTCTTAAATTTTTTTTGTCGAAATTTGACTTAACCACTTATTTACTGGGATGACTGATATAACCTGACATTCATAAAATGCAACAACTGAACAAATATATAATATTAAAAAAGTCTTTTATAGTGTCTCGTTCTTATATAACTAAAATCATCTATATTTTAACTAATTTGTATTTAGTAAAAAAAAAACTTTATGAATTTAGTGAAAGTCATTTACGCACCAAATTAAGAAACATTGTTTAAAATGAAATTTAAATGTCAATTTAACAAAATGTTATAGAAAACAGTGGTAATTATATTACTTGGGAATTTTTTTTTGCTTCAAATATAATTTATGTTCAGTTGTTCCATTTTATATAGAATAATAATTGCTTGATCACATTGCATTAGAATAATTGTAAATAAATCATTCAACTCCTATAGGACAGAGAAATATATAAAAAATTTGAGTGAATTTCCTGTCGTTTAAATTGATGCTATCTTTATTATGAGGTGCTAAGATAAAAAGCATATGAAGACTTGTGCTCATAGTATTGATAGCAAATAGATGGCCACATAGAAAAAATGGCATAATATGTAATTTTCGAATTGTCAATCTAAATGTGTAATTTTTTCAGCAGATCCGTTCATACGGGAGGCTACGGCACATACAATAACTAGAATTCATCGAAGAGTATTGAGCATCATCAGTGTACATATATCCAGTAAAAGTAAACCCACCAAGTATTTATGACTCCACCCCAACACATGATCGCCAAGTAAATATTTCTAATATTTAAATATAAGTACTATATTTAAAATTGATGTGTAGTACTAAAATATTGCCGTACACATAGATTATTTAAATGATATATTATTATTATCACTATAGTTTCTCTAATATTATTATCATTATTTTATTAATTAATTATTAATTAAATATTCATTAAGTTATACATTACTATTTTTATTATTTTTACGTTCGTTTCGGAATGCAATATTATAGCTCATTGTCAGTAATTTACAATGGTTGTAAATGTGATTGCATTCAAAGCAATATATTTTTATATTATTTTTAATTAATATAGTTAATCATCTTCATTAATTGATTAAACACATGTGTCACGTCATATATTCTTTACAATGCTTTTCGCTTTATCGCTAATTACATTTAAGTGTGAGAAAATGTATTTACAACTGTTAAAGATGATAAAACGTATTTTATCTTTTGTGATCGGTCTGATGCTGTATAAACCGTAAACGTTTAAATTAAGCGAACAATTGAAACAAATATAAACATGCAATAATTTCGTGAGATACGGAGTGTCTATTCTGACATTCAATCAGAGTACGTACAATGGGGTTATATCTGCGTTATCGACATTTTCAAAATAAAAACTCAGGCATTCGGAGTAAATAAATACTTTTACGATACGATTATAAAATTTTATAATATTGTTAGTTAGCGTTTCTGTAAAACGTTTCGTGACTTGTCGCATAACTCAACATGATGTCAAAAGAATATAATTCAGAAAAAAAACACCGCCATCGAAAGCGTGAACTGTACGGAAGACAAATTTAATTTCCAAATATTTTTGTGCATATTAATTTTTTTTCAGATCAGAAACATTTGTCTAAGATTTGTATTTATTGAATTCGAAATATATTAAATAATTTTATAGCATATTTGAACGAAAAACTATTCTGCGATTTTTAAGCAAGAGAAAAATTGAAAATAAAACTATTATTTCTGTTAATATTCAACAAAAGCGTGAAATATCAGCGTTACGCGCATATGAATAGTAACAATTAAATTTTTAATGAAAGTTTTCATATGCACCTTATACGTTTATATACAAATATATAAAATATTAAATATTTACTAATATTGAGGATGCGTATTTCATTTAAGATGACGCAAATCATCAGCATAAAACATTTTGTTTTCAAATCTGTCTATATGCAATTAAGTTACTTATATCAAAATAAATTGAATTATAATTGAAAAAAAAAGAACTATATAAACCTACACGGAAGATAGGTTCTATACAAAAGCCTCGAACCTCATTCTTATATTAAAAAACCGTGCTAAGCGAAAATCACTATAAAAAAGCTTTTCTTGTTACACGATGAATAACAAACATATTGAATGAAATATAAATATTAATATATTTAATATCAAACAAAATAAATAAATATAAAAAAAATTAGAAATTTGTACAATATCAATTCCATCGTCTGACATTAATTAAAAACAAAGTTTGAAAACAATGATGCTCCTTGTTTTGGTATTTCAAACAAACTAGCTTATACATACATCAAATTTAGTTTTATTCATAAAACGTGGAGTTCCCATCTGCTCTACATATTTACATCATAGAAATAGACTATTCAAAATTCTAACTGTAACATACATTTTGTTGTGTTATATTTTGACAGTAAAACGATAAAAATATTTTTGTAGATATAAGCAAATTATTGTTTAGTATTCATAATTTCGTAAAATGCAAAATTAATAAATTTCATTAAAAAAGATCATTTTTAAAAACAGTGATAGATCGACGTGTAAAACGAGGGATAAATGTACTATTAGAATTTAAATTAAATTATATACTATACATTTTTAAAATCTATCCTAATAATTTTCAGAATATATTTGCAAAAATTATGAACTGCTCGATAAAATATATGAGAAAATACGCATACACAGATAGGGTTATAGTGAATACCAATACCAATCTCTTGAAATATTAATATTAATTAAAGCTGCTCTTGTTGAAAAATATAAAAAATAGTAACTTTGCCGTATTAGCGACGTTGATTCAAAGCTATATTCAATCAGATAAAAAAATATTTATTGAATATATTAATAAATTTTTAAATTATCCAGCCCTAGTTAACATCGATTTGGTCAGAGATGGGCTTTCTCTTCACACATATAAATATATGTAGTTCGTATGTATGTAGGTTCCGAGTCCCAGATACGATGTATATGGACGCTTTCGATTTCACTCGAGTTCGTCTTACTTATATTATGTTGTTTGCTTTCGTGCGTAAGTATTTGGTGTTTATCCAAGATCAATATATTAACTTATGAGTATTCTAATAATATAGTTTTTACTTTCATGGTTTTGCTCTCAATTTCATCAGTATATAATGAATAGTTCGTAAAATCAAAGCGCGACAGATGATTTAATATCATACCAACACCTGTAATTGTAACCTGTATTGTATTAATGTCAACGATTTGTTTTTCATATATATTGATTGTTCAAAAATAGCAACAAAATTTTTGTTTCAAAATTTTACATATTTTTTTCTTAAAAATTTTCGATAATTTTTAAGATTCATACAACGATCTCCCGTTTTAAACAATATTCGTTTTACACGTTTTTGACCTTACACGGTTTTTTGAAAGTAATTTTTTTTAAACAAAATTTAATAATTTTGCATTTACACGTAATTATAAACACTAAACTATAATTTGTTTATATCGACAATATTATTACCATTGTATTATTGTCAAAATATAACATTACAAATACAAAATGTATGATATAGTTACGAATTCTTGGTAGTCTATGTCTATGATAGAAATATGTACATAAGATGGGAATTCCCCGTTTTATGATTAAAACTAAATTTTATATGTATATAAGCTAGTTTGTTTGAAATACCAAAACAAAAAGCATAATTGTTTTTAATTAGTGTTTATATATAATTGATAATTGATTCCGTCTTATACATAACAAAATCTATAATTTATAAAAAAGTTCGGCAGTGGCAAAAGATAAAAATCAAAAAAGTAGAGACTAACAGAAAGGTTATATCTTTATAAACCAAAATTGAAATTTTGAACCACCTCCAAGAATAATAGATGTTTCAAATTTTTATTCTAATGAAGCTACAATTTATTAAATGCGTTTTATATTAAATATAATAATATTTATTTTTCGTCCAATGTGTTTGTTGTTCATCACATTAAAAACCGTCAAAAATGCTTTTTATAGTGATTTTCGTTTAGTACGGTTTCCATATAAGAGTGAATTTTTCGGTTCTTTATGGAAACAACCTTCCGTGTAAAACGAAAGATAGGTGTGCGAATAATTTTATTCTTTCAAAGATTTATTTATAAATATTTCAGAACTATTTTATTTAATTTAATCCCGTTCAAAGTCATATGTTTCAGTTATCTCGTATCAAAAAAATATACAACCTTTACTACCAGACAACATTAAAAAGACAAACATTGAGCAGTACTTAAAACGTTCAATTAATACAAATTTATTTTATAATTAAATAAGATTTTAACAGTACAAATGTGGACATTAAAGTAATAGCCAAGCGTCTTCTGAACAAGCAGCCAGCATGCCTCGTCAGGAGTAGATTTTCACGTGAGATTCCTAACGTATTATATATTCTATCCGAGATAGGCATCATTAT